TTTATACAGCCAATAGTTTCAAAGCAAGCATTTCACAAACCAGTAACTTTAAAACAAGAAAAATGTTACAACTCCCTTCAGGTGTCTCAGTCGGGGAGAGATAGTTGGTATGTGCCTGGCATGGCTCTTTCCTGTTATCTCGTGTAAGCAGACATGTCTACATGACATGACACAGAACAGGTCAGGCTCCGGGGGCCTGTAGCACTTGCCTCTATCTCCGGATGCCTGTGTCTCCAGTTGAGTTAATTGGTTACAAGCAGTAAATTCAGACAAGCAGTATATTCAAACAAGCAGTAAATTCCTCTTTCCCTAACACTTTCAGCTCAGTGCAAGCTTGATTTCTCTACATCTTGCATATATGATGTGTAGGGTCTGTGGCAATAGGATCTTACCTAGTTCTGGTGGGCAACAGTAGGGGTGGCAAGTGCCTATATTGTTTTGGGGGCCTCTGGGCCTCCCTGACCAACAACTCATAAGGAATTATTGTACCCTTTGTGCTTCGTTTTTTGTTTGAAGTCCATGGCTTCTGGAAACAGCTTTTTTTTGGCTTTGCCAGGGTATCTCCCTCAGAATTCCTTTTAAAAAATAAAATCATATTTTAAAATTTTGTACAAGATAGATTTCCTTTTCATACTGCCTTTGTTTTAACCTCTGGCTACGAAGCAATCTGTTCATCTTAGTCTTTCTTAGCACTAAGCATCCTAGTGATGACATTTTGACTTTCCATGTAATTTTGTCTACAGAGAGCAAAGGTACTAATTCTTCAGGCATAAAGTATTCTAGTTAACATTATACTTTTCTTTTTTCTTACAATTAAACTTGCATTTGGAAATTATTCTTTATATATCTTATTGGTATAAGTTTAACTTTGAGTCTTAATTTTTAAGTATCATGATAAAATTGAATTTTTGTGTTTGAAAGACCAAGCTACAATTTTAGATGTACGAGATGTCACTTTTGGAAGTTAGTCTACTCAATTTTTTTTTCCATGAAAACCACATATTTGAGTCCATAAGATGGCTCAGTGAGTGCCTGCTACCAAACTGACTCTTATCCTTGGTACCGACATTGTGGAAGGAAAACTCACTTCTGAGATTTGTCTTCTGATCTTCACACACACATGATGGCACGCATGTGGGCTGTCCTTCATCAAATGAATAAATGTTATTTTTTAAAAAAAGCCCCAAAACCTCATACTGTTCTACATTTGCAGATTTTGTATTTAATGACTTTTAATTTTTGTTTGAATTTATATATAGTATACAAAATGATTTTATAGCCATTGTTTCATATAATTCAGCTGACATGACTGATACTAAAAATAATAAGCAAAACTAGGCAAATAAGACTTTTAATGGTTAAAATATAAACACATGCACACATTTTCCCTTCTTCCTTTTCTCTCCCATGCCCCCACCCCCCTTTTGTGGTTTAAGAATGGAAGCCTTGCCTTCGGGCATGCTAGGGATGCAGTCTAGTAATTGAACTACTTTTCCAACCTTATTGTTAAAATATTTTAATTTTAGGCATTGCTTTTTAGTTTATAGGTTAAAATTTAGGTATACTTAGAAATTATAAAATCATTTTGGACAAGGTAATAAGATACAATGGAAAGTTCACGGGCATTTATTTCTTAAAAATTGTCATGAAAAATTAAATATAATATTAAACACAATAAATAGTAAGAGGTGAGAAAATGATAATGGAAATGGTAGTACATTAGTGAGTCTTTAAAGAAGAAAACAAAGAACAGATTTGTGAGCCCAGTGGTAAGTTCTGTTCCTCTCAGTGTCAGTCATAGTATGGCCCTAAGGCAAGCTGCTTCCTGTCTTTGAGATCCTGTTTGTTTTATTGGGATCCAGTTTCCCAACTGAATTGAGACTTCTTTCTGTTGATCACTAAGAATCCTTCCAACTTACTACTGTGTAAATCCTACTATAAATAAATTAATAATTTGGTTTTTGTTAGTAGACTATTCATACTCATACATATTGAACGTCTACAGTGGTAGAGTTCAGGAAAGATAAAGTAAATTCAGGTTAAGGAGTTCTCAAATTTTTCTTTTAAGTCCTATGTAAATTTTTTGCAGTTTTGTTAAGTAATATTAAGTATCCAGTGTTTACAATGCATTGTTGTAGACCTCAGTAGTATACTGTCAGACTCCTGAAATATAGCAACATGTCACTGGATATGCTGGACTTCTGTACTGACTTCTCTTGAGTGGCATGGCGGGGTGAGGAGGAGGCAAACTTTTTTTTTTTTTTTTTTTTTGGCACCACAGTTTGCCTAAATTTTCTGGCTTACGTATGTTCTGACCCTTATTTCACTAATTTATTCTGTACATATAATCTTTGCTATTGCTTTCCTTTTTCAAGTTAGAGCACAAATGATTTCTCCTATTCCCCTGAAGGAAAACTATAGTTTGGTATCATTTCTCTATTCTTGTTTATTATCACATTGCCAAAAATTGCCTGTTTTTAAAAGCACACTTGAATTACTTTGCATGTAAATGGAGTGTTCAATACATTCTTCAACTTTAGACAAAGGAAGCTTCATCTGAAATTTTATATATAAAAATTCTGCATAGAGAGATAAAGTCTTAAATATTTCTAGCATGGGTGTCACAGTTTTCTTTGCAACTTGAAATTTTCATCAACATTTTGCACTCCTAGCAAGTGGTTGTTTGCAATGCAAAGGAACACCTGGGGTCTGTTTGTCTAAGCTATTTCAATTTGTCAGTGTTTTTAGGCTTTAGAACAAAGCTATGCCAGTATCAGTGGCTTAGATTAAAGGTATTATCACAGATGGACTGAAAATGATGTCCTTCATATTTCACATTCAATGAGGTATATTGGTCTAAGTTGCTTCATGAAGTTTTCAATCTTTATAAATCTAAGACAATTTTAGAAAGCCATACACAAACTTGTACTTATTAGCTAAGTTAAAGAGGTCACACTATCTCAGAACTTAGAAACTTAGAGTTTAAGTTTCATTCTTTTGGAATTTGCACCTTGAGCTTCTGGTGTAATACACAGTTTAAAAAAAAAAAACAAAAAAAACTGTGTTTTTACTGGATGTGGTGGCTCACACCTTTTATCCCAGTACTTTGAGGCAGAGCAGAAAGATCTCTGTAAGTTTGAGGCCAGCCTGGTCTACATGGCAAGTTGCAGGCCAGCCAGGGATAGAGAGCCCTTGTCTCAAACAAACAACCTGTATTTTTTTTGTTTCTTCTATGTAGTATTTACTCAGTTTCTTTTTGTAGATTTGCCTACTTCAACAGATTCTGAGCTCCCAGAAAATGTCTAATACTGCCATTAAACATTTTTAGTAGTTATTTGTCTTGTGTTAAAAGCATGGGGCAAATTGCAATTTAAAGGCCACAGTCTGTCTGGAGTCTATGAGAAACAGAGTGACTCCATTTGGTAGAGATTCAGGATGTCATGCATTTCTTGTAATTTTGGTTTTTAGTTTCCTACAATTTTGGAAGCCTGATCAAACACCAGAGAAATTAATGGCCAGAGTTCTAAAAGCAGAAACTATGGGTATTTGAAGTTGCCATTCCCATGTCATAAATTTTCATGTTTTATGTGTTTATTGATGTTTGTATGTGTGTGCACATGTATGGAGGCCAAAGATTGTTATTAGGTATCCTCCTCAATTGTTCTCTAACTTAGTTTTTGAGACAAGGTCTCTCCCCAAACAGCTCATCGATTTGGTCTGATAGACCAGTAAGCCTGAGGGATCTGCCTGTCTCTGCTTCCCCAGCTCTGGGATTACAAGTGTGCCATACTTGACTCCTTTTTTTCCTTCCCTGTCCCACACGGGTGCTGGCTGGTGTTCCACACTCGAGTCCTCATGTTTGTGTGACAAGCACTTTACTGACCAAGCCATGTCCCTATCCTCAATTTTCATGCTTTTAGTATTCTTTTTAGTTTATATTTTAGGAATTTAACAATTACTGGTTATGTTACTAAATGTATTATTTTAGGATAATAGAAATACAACATCAAAGTAAAAGTTAAGATCCATATATTTATAAATTTAAGTGCAAAGAGAATGGGTTGCTTGAGCACATCCCATTACTTTACAGCAAAAGTAAGCCTGTATCTGGCCCTGTTGCTGGTCTTCTGTGCAGTATTCTTTCAGACTCACTAAGTATAATTTAGTTGTACATTTCCTTTTTCTCTTGTGTGTTTTGTGCGTGTGTTCTCTGTGCATATATTGGTATGTAATACATGTGTGTAGGCCAGAGGTCCTTGCCAGGTGTCGTCTTCTTTTGCTGTCCACCTTACTTGTTTGTTTGTTAATTTGGGAACCTGGAATTCACCCATTCAGCCAAATTGGCTGGCTAGCAAGCTCCAGGGATTGCCTGTCTCTGCCTCCCTGACGCTGGGACTTCACATGCACCCTGCGGTACCCAGAATTTTATGTGGGTGCACAGCAAGCACCTTGCCAACTGAGCATCTCCCCAGCCCCAAGAAAGTTTCTTAATTTCTCTAAATCTCAGGGTGAAATTAAAGCTAAATAGATTTTTATTTCTTTGTTTTTCTTGGGGTTACTATAAAATTAATCAGTGTTCTACAAAATTGGCTCTAATTTGTCACCTCATATTAAAAGCAGCTACAGTGTGGTTTAGTATACTGCTGTGTCATTCTCAACTTTTTACAATTAGTAATAATAGCAAATTATAATTGTATTTTCATTAGTTTCTCAAAAATTTAGGACATTTATAATTTAAATTGCCCTTAAATAATGATTTAGTAAGAACCAGTGATTAGATAGGTTAAGTATTAAATATCATTTCTTACCTATTTTCATGCTATGAGACTTACTTTTATAGACCAGAACTTTAGAAAAGTAACACAAAAAGTCAGAAGGTTGCTATTTTATGTAGTGTCATTTAATAGTTTAGAAATTAATTTGAAGAAATTTATTACTGTGATTAGTAATGTAAAGTCTGTAAAATACTTATTTCTTTTCTTTAGATTTAGATTTTCCATGAAACCATTATTTGTAATACTTTCAATATGTTTTGTAGAGGAAGTCTTCCAATGAGAAACTCCTGTGTGTGGTTCTTAATCTTTGACTCTAGGGCCTTTTCCTTGTTTGTGCCTTAACTCCCAGCTTGATTTGTTACTGGTTTTTATTGGACTCTACAGACATTTCATAATTTTAAACTTTGGTGTCAGAGTATAGGTTTATCTAACCCTTATATCTATATTGATTAAAGCCTGTGTATATGACTTTAGAAGAACCTTACCAAAGAGAAAGACTAGAAAATGTTAATAGTGTATGTAGATGGTTGGACAGACCAAACTTTATTTGCTCCTTATCCTAAATTTGTACAATCCTAAAATTATACCTGGCACACAGTAGGTATTCAGTAAATATTTGTTACATGAAGGAATACTACTTATAAGCTAGAATTATTCGGCCTTCAAAAGGAATAGCTAATGAAAACTAAAAAATGATATGTGATGGGTTAATTATATGGAAAATGTTGAGAATTATTCACATTTACCAGGACTTTAGAAGAATTAGGTTTTGGCAATAAAGGATTATATTTATACAATTTATAATTGCTTTCCCTCCTCCCTTCTACCTCAAAAGTGGCGTGTGCCTCTGCACATGTGTGCAAATGTCTACACACATTCATTTGCCAAGTTCAGTTGTTCCCTTTTTGCCTCTTGATTTCTTTGCTTTCAGTTTCTTAATCCAACTTATTTTCTATTAGAGTTAACTTTCTAAAGCAAAGAATTATGCTACCATCTGTAGCTAAACAATTATGTTGAATGGTATGTAAAGTTCATTACCTGCTACTCCCACACAGATTTTTATACTTCCCTATGCTCTACTTGTAAGAGATAGCTCATTGTTTAAAGAACAAACCTTGTGATGTCATTCCTATTTAACATTTTATATGCTGTTCCTATTACCTACAATGTCGTCTATGCCCCTTTTACCAGCTTATTTTAAAAGGAAGGTTTCAACTTTTTTCTGTTTTCATAATTGTCATTGACTTTAGCTATGTGCAGGTAAGACTTTAGAAATTTTTAAAATTTATTCTTATTTTATGTGTATAAGTGTTTTGCCTGCATGTATGTAAGTACACTCTTGTCATGCAATGCCTGTGGAGGCCATTCTTAAGAGGGCGTCTGATCTCCTGGAACTGGAATTACTGATGGTTTTTAGCCACCATGTAAGTACTGGGGACCAAACCCAGGTCCTCTCCAAGAATAATCAATACTTTTAACTGCCGAGCTATCTCTGCAGTCCCACAGTTAAGCATTTTTTTTTTTTTTTTTCTGAGACAGGGTCTCCCTGTAGTCCCAGCTGACCTGAACCACTATGTAGACAAGGCTGGCCTTGAACTCTTAGACATGATTAAGCCCAGGTGACCCTGCCCAAATATTTGTAAATAAATGCATCAGTTACATCAGGAAAAGGCAATATCTATTTGGTATCTCTTGGAGATAAGCACTGTTACTGGCAGTGGATGCTTTCCTTCTTGGAAGATGCTTAGACTCTACTACCAGAGTGTTTTCTCATTTCTGCTTATGCTATGGGTACATCTGACAGGTAAGAAAATGGCCCAATAATGATTTCAATTTCTACTTACAAACAAATAGGTACAAGAACTTAAACATTCAAACAAACTGGAAATAACAGACATCAAACTGGAGGCAGCAAGAGCTAAGAGTGAGCTGGAAAGAGAAAGGAATAAGATTCAAAGTGAACTGGATGGTAATACATGATTTTTTATGTTTTTCTCTATTGTTTTCGGGTATAAATTCAAATTATCAAAATAGGCAAAGTGAGTTTTTTTTTTAATTATTTTTATTTTATGTGTGTGAGTGTATTGCCTGCATGTATATGAGTGCACCCGTGCCATGCAATGTCATGGAGGTCAGAAGAGGGTGTCCGATTCCCCTGGAACTGGAGTTAAGGATGGTTTATAGCCTCCATGTGGGTGCTGGGAATCGAACCCGGGTCCTCTTCAAAAGCAGTCAGCTCTTAACCGCTGTGCCATCTCTCCAGCCCCCCCTTTTTAAAATTTATCATTTTTATTTTATGTGGGTTTTTTTTATTTTGATCTTAAAGCACATGTGGAATATTTTTCTCATGTTGAATGTTTTGTTCATTCTATGATCTTTATTAACAATCAGTTTTATGTTTATATAATAGTTCCTTGATTACTTCATGAATTAAAAGAAACATTGAAAATGAATATCCTTCATGTATTTATAATTTTAAATATTTATTAGATCATCTAGGTATTAGGAAAAACAATATAAGGAGATAAGTTCCAGGCCTAATTTTTTTGTTTGTTTTAAATGTAAACCTAGCTAGGCGTGGTGGCACACGCCTTTAATCCCAGCGCTTGGGAGGCAGAGGCAGGTGGATCTTTGTGAGTTCGAGGCCAGCCTAGTCTACATAGTGAGTTCTAGGACAGCTGGGGCTACAAGGAGATCGTGTCTCAAAAAGACCAAAAAAGATAAAATAAAAGTAAACCTAAGACCAGGTACTAGATTGTCATTCTTTGTAGGGTTGCATTTAAGTCTTAAAGTGTTTCATCAAAATTCCTCAGAAGTTATTATACTTCTTTCTTAAATACTTTCTTAAATACTTAAAAAAAAAAAAATCTACCCTTGGACTGTAACAATGTTTACAGGTTGGCCTGTAGTTAATTTTACATCTGTTGTTTCAAATAGAGTTTATATGTATTAATGATTGTTTTCACTATTCCTTTCTATATAATACTGGCAGAGTCAGGTAGTAAATTTTCTTAGTTTTAATAATTTGGGGTATATTGCATCATGTTTGTACTTTGAGTTAAATATGAATTTGCTATAGTTACTTATCTGCAAAATACGTATCTTAAGGAAGATTTTGGGGACTCTTTCAATAAGCTGAAGTTTTATTTATATTTTTGTTAGAAATGTAGCAGATGTGCTAGAATCCTGGGTTTTGAAGAGGTTAGTGATTTTTTTTTTTTTTTTTTTAAGTCACTATTACCAGCTAGTAGTTTATGGGACTTCAGCTACAGAACCTCTTTAGAAATGAAGTAAATCATCCTCTTTGGGTATTCATCCAAGTTGATTTCTGGCTCTGAAGATGCAAATGAATAAATGTATAGAACCTTTTCGAAAGTTTTGTGTGTGTGTGTGTATATATATATATATTTTTTATTTTTAATTTTTAAAAAAATATTTATTATTTTTATTTTATGTGTATGAGTGTATTGCCTGCATGTATGTGAGTGCACCTGTGTGGTGCAATGCCGTTGGAGGTCAGAAGAGTGTTTCAGATTCCCCTGGATATATATTTTTAAACATATATATTTTTAAAAGGGATAACAGAAATTATCTCCTTTTTTTAAAATCTGTTTCATTCCTATTTTAAGATATTTTATTAGTACTATAAGGATCTCTGAAAATATTTATCCAGAGAGATTTTCACATTCTTTTGTCTTACTGGGTTTTTAAAAAATAATTTTATTATTTTTATTTTATGTGTATGAGTGTATTGCTTGCATGTATGTGAGTGCACCTGTGCCGTGCAGTGCTGAGGAGATCAGAAGAGAGCTTCGGATCCCTGGAGCTGGAGCTAAGGACGGTTTGTAGCTGCCATGTGGGTGCTCGGAATCGAACCCGGGTCCTCTGCAAGAGCAGTCAGTGCTCTTAACTGCTGAGCCATCTCTCCAGCCCACCTTATTGAGTTTTTAATGCTTATTATAATTGTGAATTTTCATGTTAGAATTGAATATAGTTTATTTTTATTTTAAAAATATGCTAGGATTGCAGTCAGACAATGAAATTCTCAAATCAACTGTGGAACACCACAAAGCACTCTTAGTAGAAAAAGATCGAGAATTAATACGTAAAGTACAAGCTGCCAAGGAAGAAGGTTATCAGAGACTTGTGGTGTTACAAGATGAAAAGTAAGTACTGAATTACCTTAGTTTGTGTTAAATTTCCTTGCACATACATGAAAACATTTTACTGTGTATCATCTTTATTGTAGTTCTAACATTATCATCTATTTTAGGCTAGAGCTGGAGAACAGATTAGCAGACTTAGAGAAGATGAAGGTGGAGCATGATGTCTGGAGGCAATCTGAAAAGGATCAGTGTGAAGAGAAGTTACGGGCTTCACAGATGGCAGAAGAGTCAGCCCGAAGGGAACTTCAAAGTATTAGGTTAATTTTTTATTTTGAAATAGTTACAGAGGTAATATAATGGTATTGAAGTAGTACAGAAAATCCCTATGTACCTTTTACTTCAAGTATTGACAGCTTTTATAAGCATATTACAGTAATCAAGACTAAGAAGTTAGCAGTTTTAATAAATCGGACATTTTTATCAAACCTATTGACTTTATTTAGATTTTACCAATTTTTCCATTTTTTTTCTAGTCCACTATACATTTTTTATTCTTTAATATATAAGTAACCATAAGACTCTCATATAATATTTTGAGAGTATGTAAATAGTCTTACTTTTCCACTAATTTTAGCATCCATTTTTCCTTAAATAATTGTTGCTTTGGTATTTTCTTAACTATTTTCATGATTTCTTCTACATTTATTACTGGAATTCTGAAAAGAAGAGCCTTCTTCTGTAAATACCATTTTATTCAGTACTGACTAGTAGAGTCTTTCTTCTGTGGGTTAAATTTGATGTGCAAACTGTCTCAGATTTGGTTATTAGATATTCCCTCCCCCATATTTTCTTTATTTTCTAGTGTAATACGGTGTTCTAGCATATCCTCACTGACTTTCCTTGCTCCCGGTCTGTAATTACTCTAAGGTGCTTTGGTTTCTTTTTTTATTGGATCGTGGTTTAAGAGACAAAATCTCAGTCTGGGAGTGCTTGGTACCAGGAACGCATTGCTTTTAGAACCTGTCACTGAGCCAGGTGTTCTCTCCATACTGAAAATAGGATATTGAAATCTCCATATACTATTTTGGAATAGTTCTCCCTTAAGTTCTGTGTTGCTTCATATTTGTATGTGTGTGTGTAGGGTATACTTGCCTGTGTGTGTGTGTGTGGAGGCCAGGGTTTGACACTAGATATTTTCCACTGTTGCTGTCTACCTTATTTTTTGAGACAGGGCCTCTCACTGAACGTGAAGCTTGTTGTTTCAGCCAGACTGCCTAGCCAGTGATTCTCCTGTCTTTACCTCCTTGCACTGGGATTACAGAAATGGGCTGCCATACCCTGCTTTCTATGTAGATACTGGGGATCTGAACTTGGGTCCTTAAGCTTGCATAGCAAGTGCTTTACCATTGAGCCATCTCCCCATCCCTGCTTGATTTATTTTCATGGTGAGTCATTATATAAAGTTTGTTATATATTCTTACTTGATCGAACTTTTCTTTTTATAAAGTTCTTTGTGTCTGTTGTAACTTCATAAAATTTAGTCTGTTTTGTCCAGTATTAGTATACCTGCCACTGCTCTTGCTTGATTAACTATGTGGGGTATATTTTCCCATGCTCTCTTTTTCTCTTTATTTGCATCTTAAATTTATAGTGAATGTTTTGTAGAGAGCATCTAGTTGGATCATATTTGTTCTTCTTCCAATGGCTTTCTTTTGTTTGACACATTTAACACATTGACATTTAATTACTGATAAGGAATGACTTCTGTTGCTTTGCTGTTTTCTGTCTTTAAAGTCTCTCATTTCCTTCATTATTGTCCTCTTTAATTTTCTTTTTGTTTTGTTTTACTTCGTTCTTTTGGTAGAAAAATGATTAAAGTATTTATTTTCTTTATATATTTTATAGCTGTTTTCGTTGTTATCAAGAGGCTATTCTACATCTTGAAAATTGTAATACTCAATTCAAATTAGAATTTATACCATCTAAATTTCAAAGACATACACAAGCTCTGTTCCTTTTAATTCTGTTCATGCCTTTCTATTGTTCATGTCACAAAATTTCATCTTTATGCATCATATGCCCCCTAACATGTTTTTTTTTTCAAGAAATTAATTTCTTAAGTCGAACACAGACGGTGGTATTAAAAACTAAAGTTACAGTGATACTGGAAACTAATTTTTAAGCATACTAGTCATTTAAATCATCAACAAGTAGTTATAAACTATTGTTACAATAATAGTTTTAATAACTGTATGTATCTATTGTTACTGACATCTGTATTTTTCTGTATAAATTTGAGCTACTATTTAATTGGCTTTCTGTTCTACCTAGGTGAGCACTCTTGAGCCTTTTTCTTTTCCTTGCATAGGTCTGGTAGCTACAAACTTCCTCAGTTTTTATCTGGGTTTTCCTTCATTCCTTCCTTCCTTCCTTCCTTCCTTCCTTCCTTCCTTCCTTCCCTCCCTCCCTCCCTCCTTCCTTCCTTCCTTTCTTCCTTCATACCCTCCCTCCCTCCCTTCCTTTCTTTCTTTCTTCAAGATACAGAATTTCAGGCTGAAATTTTCTTTTTCGTACTTTATTAAATATATCTGTCCGCTGCTTTCTGGGGCCCTAAGTTTTTTATGAGAAATGTGCTGATAATCTTACTGAATATCACTTGCATGTGGTGAATTGCTTCTCTGTTGCTGCTTTCTTGTTGCTTTGGTTTTCAAAAGTTTGATTACAGTGTGTCCCAGTATAGGTCTTCTTGAGTGCTGAAATTTTCTTTTTCGTACTTTATTAAATATATCTGTCCGCTGCTTTCTGGGGCCCTAAGTTTTTTATGAGAAATGTGCTGATAATCTTACTGAATATCACTTGCATGTGGTGAATTGCTTCTCTGTTGCTGCTTTCTTGTTGCTTTGGTTTTCAAAAGTTTGATTACAGTGTGTCCCAGTATAGGTCTTCTTGAGTTCGTCTTACAGATCATTAAATGTCTTGCATATGTACATTTATATTTTTTATTCAACTTGGGAATTTTTCTGCTACTATTTCTTCAGATATTCCTTCTGTTTCTTTCACTTTCTTCCTTCTGGAATTCCCATGATAGATAAACATGTGGGGCTGCTTGATGGTGTTTTTCAAGTCCTTTGGTTTTGTTTATTTTTCTTCAGTGATTTTATCTTTCTTCTTCAGACTTGGTATTTTGTACTTCAAGCTTGCTTATCCTGCCTTTGAATCCCTCCAGTGGAATTATGATTTCAGTTCCATAATTTCGTTTTGGTCTCTTTCAGGATTTTGTATATTTCTGTTGTTCATATGGCATTGGTATCAACTACCTTGGTGCCAGGGACCAGCTTGAGTTGTAAACTTAAAGTCTTCTTAGATCTGTTTTGAAACTGTGCCTTTTCCTGGAGATGGAAGATCACTTCCTAATTTTTCCTGAATATGCATCTATTTTTGTTGTTGTAAAATAAGATCTTAGTGTGTACTCTGTGAATTTTTCATCCTCCTCCCTCAGTCTCCTGAGTACACAGATGCACCATATGTGGCCTAGGTCTATGTCTCCTTTTGAATGTCCTAGTGTTTAATATTTAACTCCCTAAAGTAGACAAAAAAGTAAAATGAATGCAAGTGGGAAAAATAGACACGGGCTTTCTGGATTCTCTAGAAGTAATTTCAACCAGAAAGATGGAGAAAGGGTACTTAGAGCAATTGAGAGAGATTCAACAATAATAGCTGCCTGTTTCTTGGCATGTCTTGGATGGGAAGCAGTGGTCTGTGAGGAAGGTACCATTTCCTATATTTGGAGAGCAGAGTGCTTTTACTGACTCTTGTTTCCAGATGGTGTATAATGTCGAGCCTGGTGATATACAGAAGTACCTGTAGTGAGACTTTGGATGTTACTAGTGGAAGAGATGAAATGTAATTAAGTTAACTGTTACTTACAGTCTAAGCCTTCCCTGGAATTTGCAATCTCTAGATTTCCAAATGGTGATATCATAGTTCTGTCAATGCAGTTGCTGCCCAGATAAGGAGACAAAGTCTTAGTGTTACCTACTCTACTGCTTCCTAGAATCTGCTATATTGGTTTTTTTTTTTTTCACATATAAAAATTTTAGGCTTTATTGTGTTACTTCTGACCTACTGCACAATTTTTTTAAATTATATATTAATAACCACATGATTAGAAGAGGTATTTCATTACTAGCTTACAGAGAATGGACTTTGTAGTGATTTGTCAGAAATTTATTTATTGAAGTTTTTTTTTTCTCTCTCTTTTTAACATTTATTAATGTGTGCGTATATGTGTGCCATAGTGTGCCTGTGGAGGTCAGAGGGCAACTTGTGGGAGTTGTTGGTTCTCTCCTTCCACCATGTGGGTTTCAGGGTTCAAACTCAGGTCATCAGGCTTAGTAGCTGCTGCTTTTATTAGCTGACCCATCTTGCCAGCTCTTGAGTTACATCCTGCCCCCCAAAAAATATTTTTCTTCACATAGTTTTGGTAAATTCATTTCTTCGTAAGTATTTAAACTTTGTTTAAATGCTTTGTGAGTGGATTTTTTTCCTTTATCATCTATTGTTTATAAAGACAAAAATGTGTTAATTTTATATTCTGCTTACTAAATTATTTGAATTAATTTTACTGAGTTACTTGATCTAGAAATAGAAATAAATTTTCCTCTTCACCGGTTCTTAGGCTTCTAATTGATTAATTGCACTGACTGTTATATCCAGTACAACACCAAGTAGGTGTGGAGGTAGTGTGGAGATAGTGGGCATCTTTGCTTGTATGTTCTGAATGAACTGTCTCTACTGTTTTCATTAAGACATTAGCCTTAACTTGAAGATGTGTATTTTACTATTTAAGAAGGTATTGATTTTTATTTTATGTGTGATTGTTTTTATTTAAAAAGGTAATGATGATGCTGGGCGGGGTGGCGCACACCTTTAATCCCAGCACTCGGGAGGCAGGGATCTCTGTGAGTTCAAGGCCAACCTGGTCAACATAGTGAGTTCCAGGCCAGCTGGGGCTACAGGGAGACCCTGTCTCAAAAAGACCGAAAAAAAAAAAAAAAAGATGATTTTGAAGACTAGCAGTTTTCCCCTCCTTAGATTTATTAAAATAATCTGTGATTGAATTTCCTAATCCTGAACCAACCTTAATCAGCTATTCACCTTAATTTCTCATTTTTCTTTTTTTTTAAGTTTAAGCTAATGGTATATTCTATTTGTTAATTCATTCTTTCATTTCCTCTCCTTCCTTCCCTTTTTTTATCAGGCTTAGAAATATGTTATCCTTTTAAAAAGATTTAAGCAATAATGGCATAGTATGACT